ATGCGTTTGTCTATGGCTACGGTCTCATTGCGATCGCCGGCAGCGCAACGCTGCTCACGTCGCTTCGCGCCGGCTTTGTCATTCTCCGGTGGCAAACTGCGATCTTTGCCGGCATCAACTGCCTCTTTGACGCGTCGGCTGTCATGCCGTCGCTGCTGTACACAATGCAGTCGTCGCTCGACGTGTCGCGCAAGGCGCTTCTCTTGGTGTACGCGATCCTGGCCGCGGCAGTGTACGGGCTCCTCGTCGGCCTCTGGTGGCTCCATAGCCGCCACACCGCCGTTGCCATCGACGAAGAAGCACAAGCCAACGCGCCGTCGAGTCCGCAGTACGAAGCCATGGACGAGGTATTCCATGGATCTGTCTTTAGTCTAAATTTCGAGGCGAGGTCTGTAGACGGTGCCGCTGACGGCCGCGCCACTCCAGACACAGTTCAAGTCGTTCGAGTTTCGGTACTTGCTGCTGTTCGCCGCTGTGCACAACCTCCAGTCGTCCTTCTACTTTGGCACTGTCAACCAAACACTTACGGTCTCGCATGCTGTTGTTTTATGTGAAATTTGAATCGCGTTTTGTAGAATTACGACGACATCGACGAGGTCTACACCAAAGCGTTTGGGTGGATCCTCCCCGCTGGCTTTGTGTTCATTCCCGTCATCGACACGCTCGTTGACCGCTTCGGCCTCCCCATCTCGATGCTCTCGACGACGCTCCTCAGCATTGGCTACCACATTCTCGCCATGATCCACTCGCTCCCACTTCAAATCCTCACGTTCTTGCTCTTCACGGCCTTCCGCGCGCTCTTCTACGCCAACGTGGCCACGTGCGGCGCAACGACCTTTGGCCACACCAACATGGGCAAGATCCTCGGCACTGTTTACTCGTTGTCGGCCATCGTCGCGCTCCTTGAAATCCCCGCCGCGCAGTCGGCCAACACGAGTGAGACGGGATGGAACGTCCTGTATGCGGTCTCGCTCGGCCTACCCATCGCGCTCGTGCCCGTCATCCTTGTGTACCGCCGCCGGTTCTACGCCAAGACAACGGTCTAAGCGCACATTCTGTTGTCTAATCAAGGCGCCTTGTTGCTCGTCGGATGGCGGAGGCTAGGAGGGTTAGGGTAGATGTATATTAACATTGTGGTGGAATCGGCTTCCCAACACAGAGAAAGAAAAAAGACTCCACGAATGAGTGTTTGCCGCCGACTACTCGCTTGGACCCTCGCTCAGCCACGAGGTCCGACGTCGACTGTGCAGCTCGTACCGGTCACCACGCACGTCCATCGTCACATGGCCTCCAGTGGGTTGCATGTGCTCGGCGAGCCAGTTTGGTTGCTCCAAACACAGCACGAGCGTCATGTTCGTGCAGGCTGCCAGTGCGTCCAGCAGCATCCGATAGCCTTCCACGCTTGCGACCGTCCAGCAAAGGTCCAGTGTACAATGGGTCGGAGCGTGGAGGGAACGCAGCGCGTCGGCAAGCGATTTCACGTCCTGCAGCGCTGCTTCGTTGTGCTCGTACATGACCGATTGAACTCCGTTCTGTACCCAGCGCTGGAGAGCGCTGCCAAAATCGTCCAAGTGCTCTGCGACACCAGCACACTGCACCCACGTGACCGACTCGAGCGTCTTGGAGCTTGCGATTCAGTCGAGCGTCGTTTCGAAAATGGAGGCATCCAAGTCCGAACTGACAACGCGCACGGAGCGAAGCTTGGCGTCGAATTCCCGTGTGCGGAGCGCAGGTCCGTATACCGCCACATGATCAAGCGAGAGATGTTCCAGTGCGGAGCAGGTCTGCAGTGCACCAAGCGAGCACGCGAGCAGCTCGTTGCCGTCGCCGCAGAGCTCGAGTGTTGTGAGCTTCGAGATATCAAGCAAGGGTGCAAGGCGCTCCAACGTCGCATCCAGAACGAGCTCTGTGACGTGGCACAACGGCAGCGCGTTCGCCACCAAGCCAGCACAAATAACGTCGCAGTCGTTCAAGTGGAGGGTCGAAAGCGCTGGTGCGGACGCAATGGCGCGTGCGACATCCGCATCGTGGTGCGATTTGCAGCCCGACAAGCCGAGACGAAAGGCGCGATCGAGTGCCAGCCACTGCATGACGGGCACAGCCCAGTCGTCGCGCGTCCCTGAATTGCTGTCGTCAAAGTCGATGAGATGGAGCTCCGAGATGCGGTAGGGCGCCTTCAAGATCGTCCGAAGGTCTGCGCCGTTGTCGTTATAGAGAGTGACTGCCTTGACGTTTGTGCACAGCAGGAGCAGCCGAGAAAACTCTGTCCCTTGCGCGTCGGTCACCGTGATGCGAAACGTCTCGTCGAAGCGCTCAACCTTATGTGCCCACTGCGCTACAAACGCGCAGAAGGGCGAGGCAAAGGCGCTGCCTTGTGGTACAGGCCAGCGGTCGCTCACCGAGTTGCAGGCGACGTAGAGACCAGGGAAGGCGGGCATGGCAGCAGCAACATACGGAATCGCGGCCTCGGGGGTCGCCCCGAGCTGAGGCCGTGGCCAGAAAGACTTGCCGTGTACATCTTGGTTCCGCATTGTTGTCAACAGCGTGTGCAGCGCGTCTAGAGCTGGCGTGTACCGAGTCCATGGCATCGCTTCGAGGAGCGAAACGACGTCGGCAGGCGACTCGACGCATTGAACGATACAAAAAGGACTCCAGAGCCGTCCAAGACCGACGACAGGCTCCAGAATCGACGACACATCGGGACGTTTCGCCAGGATTTGGGATTGAGCGAAGGTTGAAATCGACCGTTTAATCAAGGTAATGAGTCAAGTTGGGCGCTGTGCAACGAGCTACAGTGCGCGTACTAAAGATAGGCCACCTGGGGTTCATACACTTCTAGCTATCTGGAGTGGCAATGGATAGTTGTCAAACGTGTCATACTTGTTTATTGATGTACCAAGTTTTCATGCACGTAGGATACGATTTGAGGTCAAAATTGAAAAAAACATGTGATTTTTTCGATATTTTGGCGAAATAAAGATAGGCCACTTGAATGTATAGGGTCGTTACGAGGCGTTTGACGCTACTCTAATCCCCGGATTTTCTACCTATGCGAGCTACAACATGTAGGCACCTG